TCAAATTGTGGTAAATTGATGTTTGGTCGCCGCTAGACAATGTCTTCACTGCTTAAGTGCCTCAGTACTTCCCGGTTTCTAATATCATAATTTCTTTCTGGCAGGCATAGTCTGCGTGAGAAGAAAGTGCACAGGTGGAGTTTATTGTCCTTTTCAGACCTTTGAGACCAGATACAGTAGGTCCAACTCCTATGTCGGCAGCATCTAGCTCTACAATCACAGGCAGATCGGGATCCAGGAAGGACAGAATTCTCATTTGTGGGATTGGCCATCTTCTCCATGGCAAAAAGAGTGAAACTACACTTTGTGAGATCTGTTGAAGGGAAGATGCTGCTTGCTTCTGTGTATACGCATTCCAGATTATCAGAGATGTTAATAATATCCATAACATATCTTGTGAGAGTTGTTTTCACGTTATGGACTGCCAGAACAGCTGGTCATGGATAATGACACATTGTTTGTTTCCCAGGCGATAAAAATTTCCTGCACAAAAAAATATTCTTTCCAACCCATACATCCATCCACCAATAGTCTGGCAGAACATGAGGTGCAAATCTTGAAGTATTCACTGAAGGCATCTAAAGGGTTGAAGACTACTCAAACAAATGTTAACCTTCAATGTTATTTCAATACTGGAATGCATTTTTCAGTATTTACTGGCACACTGAAAATTTGAGACAAATCAGGAAGGTTGTTATACGTCTGGAAGCTGTTTGAAGGGACAGGGTGGCACTGAGAGGGAGACATTTGTTTTGTTTCAAGAGGAGGAGGCCCAATTGTTGAGACAAAATGGACTGCAACAAAGCACTGAATTCTCTGGCCAGCCAAGGGGAGGATTCTGCCCTGCAAGTGGAGGATGTCCCAACACAATAGACTTATAAAGTTCATAAGAAACAACTAATTTTCTTCCATATGATTGCTGTGACCAGACGTTTATCCAGCAGTGTGACCCTCACCCTTCTTATTGGTGACTGTACAGTATATAGAGCAATAGTGATTGGAATTCTGGCTCTTCTTAGGGAGCCAGATCATTTGGCTCAGCTCAGCAATAAGTGCTGGCACCTTCGGCTCGCCATCAGCTCTTCATTTAGTACCACTGTTGGCTTTTAACAATGGTTGCAGCTTCCTTTATATGTAATCTTGTATGTGTAAATTTTGTGCTAATACTCTGCACATTTATCTGGTGCTTGTTGCTTTGCCCATTTCCTGGCTTCGCCTGCTGTCCCTTCTCTGTAAAGTTCAACTCACCTAGCCTCACTCTTTGACTATCTGTTAAAGATTGCTTTCTGGTTATCGATCCTTACCTGGCTCTGCTCTGCCCTGCCCCTAAAGTTCTCTGGTCAGGTGCTGTACTGATCATCTAGTGGCTCTGTCCTAGAGTATTCACTATCCATTTCTCCTGTTTTTAATTATTTTTTCATTAAAACTGGCACAAATAGTAGGAGCAAAGTGTGCATTTGGAAAAATATATTTAGAGGCAAATTTCAGAAATTCCAGATCATTTATGTTGTAAGAAAAAATGATGAGGACGTTGAAGATCTCGATGAAGATGTTTATTAACACCCTAAGCTCAAACCTTTTACACAGTTACAGTTTACTACCCTTAATGTAAATGAAGTTGCTCCTGTCTTAACAGCTGTGGTCTGTATGTTAATGGTTCTCAGTGTCCCACACCTATTCCCTTTCTACAATTGGTCAGTCAGTCAGTCACCTTTATTTGTACAGCGCTTTATATAATACTGATTGTGTCAAAGCATCTTTACAGTGTCAAACAGGAAAATAGTTTGTCAATAATGCAAGAAGACAATAACAAAGAGTCATTTTTTCCAGCTAAAGTCAGTTCATTGATGATTCACTGATATCATCATCCAGTTCAGCTCTTTTCCAATACTGTCTGTGCAATCAGTCAAGCATCCCCAACTAAGCAAGCCAAAGGAACCAAAACTCCATCGGTGACAGAAATGGAGAAAAAACCTTGGGAGAAACCAGGCTCAGTCGGGGGGCCAGTTCTCCTCTGGACAGGTGAAACCAGTATGGCATGGTTTAATTCCAGGCTGCAACACAGGTGCAGAGGATTTGTCTGGTTCCTGTTGTCTTGTGCCGATGGTTGTCGAGGTGATGAGGTCTTCACAGGGGATCTGTCTCTGGGGCTTGGTCTAGTTGACATGGTCTCCGCTGACATTCAGGGCCGTAGAGGTCGTCTCTAGGTGCTGATCCATCATCTGGTCTAGATATGGACTGGCTCTAAGTGGCTACGGTGAGCTCGGAATAAGAATGAAAGAGACTAATATTAGCGTAGATGCCATTCTTCTCATGATGTTATGAGTACATCGGGTGTTATGGGAAGAGTTCCCAATTCCGGTTGACCTAATTAATGCAGTGTAACAATCCTTTAATTGATTTGAATTATAGAAATGTGATAGTGTATTATGTGTATGCCAGGTTAAAGAGATGGGTCTTTAATCTAGATTTAAAC